GCAGGAGCCTGGGCCAGCCAGGGCAAGGTTTCGTGGGGCGGTAGAGGAGGACAGAACCTGGGAGCCGTGGGCAAGCAACCCCGGTGCCCCAAGGCTGCTGCTTTTCGCTGTGGCGAGGCTGCAAAGCGGTGAATCGCGGGGACCCTGCTGCTGGCAAACTGAGCAGGCAGCGTATACAGTGGGATGGGTTGCAAAAGATTATTTTTGTCTATCCTACACACTGACCTTTTTATGGTTCTGAAGAAACAGAGTAAGCGGGAATATTTCCGCCCCTCCTAATAGGATGAGGGGTTCTTGTATGCCAAGCTTGAAAAATACGAAGATGCTACTGAATTTCAGTTTCCAGCATTCCTCATCCTTGCCGTTCGTTCCTTGGAGTTGGGGTAATAGCAGCCCCAGACAGCCTGGCTAATGAGGAGGAACACTGGGAAAGGAGGACCTTCACATCTGGAGGGTGATAGATCCCCCCACCCCCACCCTTCAGGGCTTCTCTTTGGCCGCTCTCCCGGGCGTCTGAGCACCAAGGAAGATTCCTCACTGCTAACAAGGTGGGGTTGAAACTTCTCAAGATCAATCTGGGGTGCAGGAGAGAATGGGGAAGAGGGTCCCTCACCTGCCACCTGCGTGCCCGCAGCATCTGGGGCACAAAAGAATGGCCTGTCCTTAGCCTAGGTAGAGAATTGTTCCTGCCCAACAGAGTGGGTCTTCTGGTTTGTTCCACCGCCCTGCGATTCCTCTCCTGATTTATCTACAAACGCCTGACTATTAAACCCCGTTCTGTTCTTGCCGGCTCACGTTGGCTTGCAAACAGTGCCCCAAATTTCATCCTCTGTTACAAGCCTCCGCAGCTGATGGATGGGCCTAGATCCATCCCTTCTTTAAATTCCTCTTCTCCTTCCTCATATCACTTCAGGTCTTGTGCAAGTATATTTTTTTCCACGCCTTCTTTCTCTCTCACTAACTCCTTCCTCCACCCGCTAAGGTGTGTTACAATGTTGGTATATCCTTTCAGCTTCTGGGGTGCAAAAATCGACGCCCTGAGTGCACTCCCACTGTCTTTGCATTTGCATGTTGGAAATAATAATAATAATAATAATAATAATAATAATAATAATAATAAAAAAGCGTTAACAATTGGAAGTAGTCCCTTCAGCAAACTGGCAGAGGCTGCATGTATAGAAATGCTCGTAGGTTCTGCACTATATTTTATATTGAATTTACTTTGTCTGGAATGGGGGCTCAACGCGCAGGACCCGTTTCTTCCTGCCTCTGTCTGGAGGCAGAAGCTCAGACCCAAACATCTCCCAACATCTTTGTCCTTCAAAACAATTCTTGGAAATCAATGGGCACTCCAGGCAGGAGAGCTTGGCCCAAATCAGAGCCCCGAATTCCCCTTCCCCAACATACCCAATGCCAGTTCAAAGCAGAACATGAACGCTCATGTCATAAATTCTGCAGCAGCCTCAATAAACCCTGAGGGGGTCTCAATCCCAGCTCTTCGGTGTGGTCCAAAAGGGCTAGTGCTCTCTTCCACCCTGAAGGTGGTAGGCTAACCACGTAGTCCAGATGTCCTGTATCCTGGCCTGGCGGGGCTGTTGGTTCCATCTCAGGAACATGTTGGCGGGCGGCTTAGCGGTGCAGCCAATTGATCCCTAAAGCAAGGTTTTTGAAAACAGACGAGAAGGAGCCGTTTCCTGCTTCTTTCAGAGGTAGGCAGACATCCATGGCTACCTTCAGAGGTAGACAGACAACCATGGCTACCTTCAGAAGTAGGTAGACATCCATGGCTACCTTCAGAGGTAGACAGACAACCATGGCTACCTTCAGAAGTAGGCAGACATCCATGGCTACCTTCAGAGGTAGAGAGACAACCATGGCTACCTTCAGAAGTAGGTAGACATCCATGGCTACCTTCAGAGGTAGATAGGCATGCCAAGATTTTGCTGTGCTAAGGCTTCTACTGTACCACTATTTGCCCTCTCTTCTGTGAGCCCCAGATGTGGCCGTGGGATGGGGACTTCCAGGGTGCCACAGCCTCAGCTGGTCTTGTTCCCGGTGTCCCCATCTTGGTCCAGTGTGCTTGGCACCAGCTTTCACCCTCTCCGCCATCTGCCTACTCGATCCCTTTCCGCTGCACCGTCAGTCCCTCCTCCTCCTCCGCCGGGTCACAGCTGATATTCTGGGCCGTGATTATGGCGATGCTGCCCAGGATGACCCCTGCCCCCATGATGTCAAAGGGTGTGACGGCCTCCCGCAGCACATAGTACTGGACAGCCAGGGTCACCACCACTTCTGAGTGCAAGACAGCGCACACCAGCGCCGGGTGTGCTTTTGTCACTGCATAGCTGGCGCACAAGAAGGAGACCAGAGCGAGGAAGCTGATGGCCACCACACACGTCCAGGTCAAAGGATCCAGGACCATCACGGGGTCCTGGAGGAGGAACATGGCGGGGGAGCATACCAGGCTTCCAACCACGCCAAACAGGAAGGCGACGGTCACCAGCTTGGCGGGGAAGTCCAGGGCTCGGAAGATGACCAGGCCTAAGGCCAAGGCCATGCCGCCCAGGCAAGCCAAGACGTACCCGAAGGTGTCGTAGAGCTGGGTGCTCTTGTCCAAGTTCAACAAGTCCGGGACCACCATGATGATCAAGCCCAGGGTGCTCCCCACCAGCCCGAACCAGTCGTAGCCCGTCAGGCGGCCGTTCTCGATGCACAAGGCCAGTAGGACGGAGCAGATGGTGGAGGAACCCTTGCGGACGGTGGCCGCGTTGCCGCTGGGCACCACCATGAAGGAGCTGTAGGCGCAGCCGATGGAGATGACATTGATGGAGGCGTGGAGCAGGGTGCGCTGGCGGGCCTCCCGGGGCCCAAAGCAGGGCGCCTTCTGGCAGCGGAGGTAGCAGGCGAAGAGCAGGTGGAGGGTGCAGCGGAAGAGGAGGATCTCCAGGGAAGGGATCCCCGAGGCTTCGTTGGCCATGCGGGTGAATGGTGCCACAAAGCCGGCGGGCACGCCGCCCCCCAGGAGAGCCACCAGCAGGCCCTTCATGCTTTCGGAGAGACGGTAGCGATGCCAGGCTGGGCGGCGAGGGGGCGGGGCCGGAGAGCAGGGAGGGGAGAAGCGCAACAGGTCGGCCACCGTCCAGGTCGCTTTCCCAGGTGGGCCTGGGTCCGAGGCCATCGGGGGCATCTCTGGGTGGGACGGGCCCAAGGCCCCTTCTGGAACTGGAACCCAGCCTGCAGAAGAAGAATTGGGGGCAATCAGGGGGGCTGCAGCCACAGCCTCTGCCCATCCTGGGGCCTGACGCTGGCGTTCAGGAGGTGCTCTACCCGACCGGTGTCTGCAGGATGTAGTCAAAATGGTGGCCACAAGGGTGCAGTGGAAGCTCCGCCCCTTTTTATGCGCATTGTGCTGCCATCTTGACTGTCTTGACCACCCCCAGTGGGGCTTCCGCTGGCCAGCGCTCAACCTCAATTTAGAATAGCAATAAAGGTATCCTACTGTGGAAGAAGGCTGTGGGCAACTAAACACTTCACATGCAAAACACCCTGCTGGGGTTGGAGCAAGGGCTGAATTGCGCGCGCACTTGCTTTTTGATAAACCAAGTTCTGTAGGATAAAAGCCCAATATTACGAAGCCTGGAAAGTAGGCCTGCAAAGCAGCTGTTGGATTTTTCTAGCCAGTGTGTGCTGTCTCCAGAGTTCTCTGCACCCACCAGGAAAAAAAGCCGGGATTACTCTTGAGGACTAGGAACTTGATGTTCCTAGCACAGTGAGATAGCAAGCCACCAACGAAGGCGGTGCACGGCTAGGATGATACAATCTGACATTAGCGCCACTTTCCACCCTATCCCTTGTTTCTTCCTACAGTATACGCAGCATTATTCTTTTAGAAGAGTTAGATAAAGTAACAGGTCTGTTATGCATCTTGCCCTTCATTTGGAAATCACGCCCTTATCATTCTTAATGCCGATTCCCGTTTTGCGGATGAGGAGGTGCAGGTGGCAGAGAAGGGAGAGTGATGTGCCCAGGGCATGGCTTGGCTTTGGCCCAGGGATGCAAGCTCACCCCAGGTGAGTCTTGCACACGCGGGTGATCCCACACTCCCGGCGCCCGCTGTTTCCTGACGGCAGGGTGGCTGTGTGGTGTGGCCTGCTAGAGAGCGGGGCGTAGGGAGAAGGGCGGGGGCTGTAAAGGGGAGGGGGAAGACCCCTACCTGGGGGAAGGGGACACACCCACCTCCGGCCTTCTCCAGCTAACCCCTCTGCCACCACCAAATGTGTACCAGCACTTCAGCCACCTGGTCTGGCTCCCTTGCCCAGGAGGGCATTGTGATGTCATCCTGCATCTCTGTGACATCGGCCCCACACCTGCTGGGAGGGGGTCCCCGGCTGCCAGCCAGCCAGCTGGAGGGGACCCGCAGGATTCCCCCCAGGAAGGCTTCCGGGGGCTGGGCGGGAAAAGGCCGGGCCTGCCCTCAGTTGGAGCTGGTTTTCACGGCGTG